GATAGATAGATAGATAGATAGATAGATAGATAGATAGATAGATAGATAGATAGACAGACAGACAGACAGACAGACAGACAGATATTATAGATGGACAGAGACAGATTCAGATCTCTCTATACTGCATCAACTTATTTGGCATTGTTCTATAGATAGATAGATATAGAAAGATTTGGATCTGTCAATATATACTTTATTATTATTGCTGAAAAGTTAGGGATGGTGATTGGTCAGTTTTTTAAATAGCTTTTAGTGATGTTTAAAAGTATAAAGGTTAAAAAAAAACCAAACTAATGCAAACTAAGAATAATATGAAAAATAAAAAGGAATGTAACGTATCCCTGGTATTACAGGTACTCCCCGACTTAACAACCACAACTGAGCGCAAATTTTCTGTTGCTAAGCGAAACGTTCGTTAAATGAATTTTGCCCCATTTTACAACCTTTCTTACCACAATGGTTAAATGAATCACTGCAATTAAGTTACTGACGTGGTTGTTAAGTGAATCTGGCTTCCCCATTGATTTTACTTGTCAGAAGATCGCAAAAGAGAATCATATAACTCGAGGACACTGCGACCGTTATAAATATGAACCAGATGCTGAGCACCCAAAATTAGATCCTATGACCCTAGGGATGCTGCAACGGTTATAAGTGTGAAAAACGGTCATAAGTCACGGTTCAGTGCCATTGTAACTTTGAACGGTCACTGATTGAAATGTTGCAAGTCGAGGACTACCTATAATGTTCAGAAACTGGGTTATGACCCCGACACTCGGTCCCTTGATTGGACCTTGTCTGTACATAACAGATCCCTTTTGGGGGGGGATCGAGAAATGTCAAGTTTTCCAAAGACACCGTACAAAGTGGATCACCCTCTGTTTCTGTCTTTGCAGGAAGATATTTACCTCTCTTACACACAGAGCTTTCCTTACAAGTGGACCGCACCGGAAGCCCTTTCCTGCGGATGCTACTCCATCAAATCGGACGTGTGGTCCTTCGGGATCCTCCTGTACGAAATCATGACCCGCGGGCAGAACCCGTATCCAGGTATGGGGACTAGAGTACAGAGCTTGGTTGGGTATCCTTAGGACTTTGTCAGAGTATATTCACGAACTGAAATAGAGCTTGGTAACAAGATCAGCCAATGAATAGCCGTAGCAATTAAATCAGCCAATGAGGACAGTTTGGAAACTGAAACTAAAAGTAGCCTAGGCGTGGCTACGTTAAGCTCTGCAGCTCTGAAGCTATGTCGAGCTCCGAGTCTGTCTATTGAGATGAAACTGCCTCCCTCCTCTTGCTTGCCTGCTGAATTAAAGTTGAAGATGAAACTAACTTGCTTGCTTGCTGAAAACCGGAGCTCTGCTCTGAACTTGCAACCCGTTTCTGTTGGAGTTTGCTCCCTGTTGGAGAAATCTACAACTGGTATTGTAAAATCTACTTATTATGTTTATAAAGATGTTAAATGAAGCATCAGCCATCTGTTTTTTCTGGTGCTGAATTTTCACTGCAAAACTCTCAGATCAGATCAGCCTTCTCCCTTCTGGATCCCTTTAGAACAGGGGTGTCCAACTCAAGGCCCCGGGGGCCAGATCCAGGCCGCGAGGTACTTAAATCTGGCCGGCAGGGCCAACCTGGAAATAGCAAAGGACCGGCCTGCAGCGCCTGTGGCAGCCAAACCGTGGTGTGTGGACCCTCTGCACTCTACCAGGGTGCTGCTGGAAGCCGTCCAGGCTGAAAACAGGGCATGGGGGGTTCCCTCTCTGATTGATTTACTTAGCAACTGCGGCAAGAAAGGTCGTAAAATGAGGCAGAACTCCTTGAATAAGTATCTCACTTTAACAACAGAAATCTTGGGCTCATAAGTGGTGGTCGTAAGTCGAGGACTACATCTACTGCTCTCCGTGTATTTCATGCCATACGCGGAATACGTCAATAAGGCTGCGTTTTCCTTTCCTTTTCCACAGGCATGAGTAACTTGGAGGTCTCCACCAAGGTTCAAAATGGCTTCCAGATGCACTGCCCGCCCAGGTGCCCCCCTGTCATGTACTCCCTAATGTGCCAATGCTGGAACCTGGATCCCAACCAAAGGCCCGACTTCCAGAACATCAGAGAACTCCTCCAGAAGTTCACCAGCTACGAGAACTTTGAAGCTTTCTCTTAAACTGCCCTTCAGTAACTGGGCAGAAGTGGTACCCCCAACACACCATCACCTGACTACAAGGGGTAGAGGAAAAGATCAAGGTGATTGACATATTATCATACCATCAGCCCTGTTGGGAAGGAAAGGATGTAGGTTTAATCCAAAAGGCTTTGAACCTAGAACGAAAGAGGCGTTTCCTAAAGGTGAGGGTAGGCAACCAATGGAAGAGCTTGACTGTGATGACCCAGGGTGGGATACGAAACAAACACGGCCACAGGAAACAGGTTAAGCCCCTTTTATTCCTTCACTTTGCTTCCAAGCTCCAAATATCTTTGACAGAAGACAAAAAACTCCCACACAAACAATTACGTGAAGAAGGAAAAAAGCAACCCAAACCAGGCAAGATAAGGGCTGGAGGACGTCCACAGATAACGCACACTGGGAAGGACGCCAAATTCAGAGAGGAACCATAAACTAGAAATATTTCCACGCTTTGTTTCCAGCGCTCGCCCATATGCATGTCCGTCCTCTTATCCAGTTGTCACAGCTGCAACCCATGAAGAGGATCAAGGCCCTCTCCTCCCCAGTAGACCACGTCTCTCCCTTATCCTGTCCTCCCTGTGTGCCCTAGGATGGATAAGGGATGGGCCTCGGGTGGGATTCAAATTTTTTAACAACCAGTTCTGCGGGCGTGGCTAAGTTGGTGGGCATGGCTTGGTGGTCATGTTATTGGCTGGGCGTGGCCAACTCAATATCCCTCACATCGAGGCACGCATCTCCTCGCCTGGCCACTCATGACTGTGGGGATGCTGCAACAGTCGTAAGTGTGAAAAATGGTCATAAGTCACTTTTTTCAGTGAAATTGTAACTTTGAATGGTCACTCCACACAAGCAAAGTACCAGCAAAAGAGGGGAAATAAAACTCCAGAGAAGTTCCTGAGACAGGAAGTCTAGTCCTGCCAAGAATGTAATAAGGGTTAACGGAGAGGCAGTTTCTGTAAGCAACACCAGAATGTTTCCTTCCTGCCTTCCTTACAGGATTAGGCCAGTAATTTCTTCTAACAACCGGTTCTCTGAACTGCTTAGAATGTTAACAACCGGTTCTAGCGAATTGGTGCAAACTGGTAGAATCCCACCCCTGATGGGCCTGGGACTGCTCAGCCGGTCTCTGCCCTTCCCCAGCTTCCTCCACAACCTCCGGAGCCACACTTCCACTCCCTGTCGGCTGTTCCTCCTCTCCCTCAGAGTCAGTCTTCACCAGTGGCATGACACTGACTCAGAAGTTGTGGCATCACTGGAAGCTTTCAAGAAGAAATCTCTCTGAAATGGAATAGGGCCGTGATGGTGAACTTTTGGCACACATGCCAGAGGTGGCAAGCAGAGCGCTCTCTCTGGCCACGCAAGCCATTGCCCCAGCTCAGCTCCTCTGTGCATGCACGCATGTGCCTCCCGCTGGCCAGCTGGTCTTCAGGTCTCTGCCATGCAGGGGGTGGGGCGCGCATGCATATGTGGGGGTGCACATGCAGGGGTTGCATGCACATGCACGGGGTCACAGGGAGGTCACACGTGTGGTGGGTGCAGGGAGTCTCATGCACATGGTTATGCACACATGCCCGGGGCGCATGCACAGGGCACGGGCACACATTGCATTTTGGGGATGTGCCTGCGTACTTTGGGCACTTGGTACCGAAAAGTTTCGCCATCACTGGAATAGGGTCTCCTGCCCTAAGGTCCGATTAGAAGACCTCCAAAGTCTTTTCCAACTCTATTATTCAATGTTCTAGGAATGATCCAATGGGCCACGACTAAACTTCCTTGTCTTTTGTTACACTTTGCAACGCAACACTTAATTAGCACCCACCACACCTCACAAATCTTCCTGTGGATAGTGAGCCTGTTGAAATCCAAGACAAAAATCTGGGTCCGATGTTGGCAGTATGGATCATCAGACTGGAAAAAGCTAAGCAAAAGAACTGGGCTGATGAATCTGTATAGATTGCCTCTTGGTGCCTTGGGGTTCTGCAAAATTCAAACTTGAATGTTTTCTCATTTGCTTCAGAGACTGGAAAAGATCCCAAATTGAGTTTGCCCATCGAATATGCACGACTCTAGAATTGGTGGTTCAGCCACTTGTGGGAATCCAACCATTATCCTAACATGTGATGTGAATGAAGCACGTTCAACGGTTTGTTTATTTTGGCAGATTTATTTTGATGGGATTATAAGAAACCTTCCTCGTTCATTTTGGTTGAAGGTTAAGAATATTGTGTGACTCTGACCTGGGAAGCGTGTCTGGAACGATTCCTGAATGTTAAGCCATATTTTCCTGTTGGTTGAAGAGTTATAGGTAAAGATACAGATAATCCTTTGATTTACAATGATTCATTTAATGACCATTTGAAGTTATAAGAACACTTAAAAAAGTGACTTAAAACCGTTTTTCATACTTACGACTATTGTGCCATCCCCATAGTCATGCAATCAAAATTTGGATGCTTAGCAACTGACTCATATTTACAACTATTGCAGTGTCCTGGGGTCATGGGATCCCCTGTTATGACCTTCTGACAAGCAAAGTCGGTATAAAGTATAAATTCGGTGCCAAGAGCATTTTTTTTTTTTCAGAGAGACAGAAATGCCCACAACTAAACCAATCATATTGATGAGTGTTTTTTTTTCAAGCATGGCCACTTTAAGATGGTTGGACTTCAACTCTCATGTTTACTGGGGCATTCTGGGAGTTGAAGTTCAAGTTACCAAGGTTTTGAAGCAGAGCTTTAGAAGCTTGCAATAAGAATCAAATGCAACAAAATTCCATCCGGCTTCAAAGCTTTCTGGTTAAAAGAGTGACCATTGGTATTGTTAAGTTCTGGGCATGGGCGCAAGGAACGGAGACGAGGCAGTGAACGGTGAACTTCAACTCTTTATTAACAATCAGGAACAGAGCAAAACCCTTGGGCAGCAGCAGCTCTTTTATAGAGATGGCTGCTGTCCCATTAACCAATGAATTGCGTTGGAGCGTTTAAACTGTGCCCAATGGGAGACCCGCTATTAGCCAATCAGATTGCCCAGAAGAGACCAATCATGATTCGCTATTTATGGGCCAATCAGAATTGCAGGATTACGAGCCTGCTTTTCTAGTAAGGTTGTCAAGTTTTATTAAATGCATTTACTTAGTTCATAACAGGTATGATGTCACCCTTTGTAAGAAACAGTAATATAGTAATTGGTAAAGAATTAGCAAGTCTATCCAATACATCATTATACATATTATAATGGCGGCGAGGATAGCTTTCACACAGGGCTGGAAAAAAGAAAAAAATACCATCCGAAGAAGATCTGATACAAAAAATAATGGACTGTGCGGAAATGGATAAATTCACAGTGGAATTAATAGGCAAGGTCGAATTGGATTATTATGTGGTTTGGTATAGGTGCAGGGGTGGGATTCGACCAGTTCGCACCTATTCGCTAGAACTGGTTGTTAACATTCTAAGCAGTTCGGAGAACCGGTTGTTAGAAGAAATTACTGGCCTAATCCTGTAAGGAAGGCAGGAAGGAAACATTCTGGTGTTGCTTACAGAAACTGCCTCTCCATTAACACTTATTACATTCTCGGCAGGACTAGACTTCCTGTCTCAGGAGTTTCTTTCCCCCCTTTGCTGGTACTTTGCTTGTGTGGAGTGACCATTTAAAGTTACAATGGCACTGAAAAAAGGGACTTATGACCATTTTTCACACTTACGACTGTTGCAGCATCCTCACAGTCATGAGAGGCCCGGCGAGGAGATGCGTGCCTCAATGTGAGTGATGTTGAGTTGCCACGCCCAGCCAATAACATGACCACCAAGCCACGCCCACCAACTTAGCCACGCCCACAGAACCGGTTGTTAAAAAAATTGATTCCCACCCCTGAATAGGTGGTACAAATGGGTAGAATATAAGAATAAGAACTGATGTATAAATACAAAAAGAAACATGGGTATTCCAAATGACACAATGCTGTTAATGTAAATAGAGATTTGTAATTTTGTTTTTAAAAATGAAATAAATAATAATTGTTGGAAGAAATATCCTTCTGGGTTCAGTTCCAAGTAGGGAAAAAGACAATGGAAACATGGAGGCTGTTTGGAAGGTGGTTTAATGATGGACAGCAGGAAGCAGGAAGCTCCAAAGAAGGATGATCACCTGCTCCAAGGTGAAGAAAAAGAGAAGGAAGGGAAGATAATGCTGAGAGTCCCTGAGTTTTATAACTTTTGTTGGGATTTGAATTTGAGCTTGTATTCTGATTGGTTGTCCGACTCCCATGGGGCCATGCAGGGACAACTCTGTAGGCTGTCCTGAGTCCCAGGCTTGGTTGAGCCTGGCTGGATGATGATGATGTAATGAAAGGGCTTTTGGCAATTGCTATAGCTTTACCTGGAGATCTTTGTTATGCAAAGTATTCTGGCCCAAGTTTTAATGGCCCACCCATTAACAAAAGTGGGGGTGAGTTTCTGCTTCTGAGGTGTTTCTGCTCTTGAGTTTCTACTCTTTTTAGAGGAAATATTCTGCCTTTTTAATATTTCATAGGATATTTCAATTTTCTAGGAGAGGGGTGGGTGCTAACTTCCTAGATAATAATAAAAAAGAAATTGGTAAAGAATGTGAGGATATAAATTATAATCCTCTCTGCCAGCTTCTCTTTAAGTTTTCACTACAGGTCTCTCATACTGCGTTGCTGTGACTCAGCCGGGAGACTCAGCCGTTGTGTGCTTGATTCAGTTCCCTTTGAAACTTAATCACATCAGCCGTGCAGCAGCTTCAAGCCACCAAGTGCAGCAAAAGGGCACTTAATGGGTGCAATTGGCCGCCGGGCACTCTCAGTTTTGCCAAGTAGATCTGGGTGACACAATGGCAGTTCAGCAGATGGCTGGAAGGGTGTCCAAGCTCTGCTCTTCCCTGTAGCTAAATATAAAGCCAGGATTCTCCTCCAGACAGGCACTTCCTAAAGATGTTTGCCCTGAGAACCGGATCTAGTTGGCCTTTACAAGCCCCTAAATAATGGCTGCTTTTCGGACAGCAAATATTGCTGAATAATGGAGCGCCGTCGAGTAGCCAGACTTCTAACAGATGGCAGAGTCCACACACACACCCAAAATCCATTTGTCTCTGTGCTGTGGAGTCAGCGTTTTTTTCATCCTGCTCGAAGCGACTGCTTTAAATAGGCAAAGAAACTCAGTGGCTTCTTTTGATCT